TCCTTTTAACTCAGTGTTATGCGTTTTAGTAAAGTCTAGAATCAGCATGTGTACTATGTAAACCACTCAAAAGAGGAAAAAACATGAAACTCTTACAAGAGCTTCCCCCACAAATGAAGATTTCAGAATGATATTAAACCTTGTGTAAAATTATCAATCTTGCACAAATATATTTGTATATCTCCACATTATGTTCTGTACTCAAGGATGCAGTCCCTTCACAAAAGTAACCAGGCTGGAAAATGTGGTCACAAGTGTTGTCAGCTTTATTTACACTGAAACTGAGCATTAGTGGCTGCGTTCAGGTAGTAGTAGGCAATAATGTAGTCTAACTACAACACAGCTATAGCCATATAGGCACTGTGGGTTTTATGCTTGCTGAAAGATGTTATTTTTCATATGGTGTGATATTTGATAGAGTATATGCGCCCCTCTAGGAGGAAAAATAAATTTTATATATGAAAATACAAATCCCTAGCATTTAATTTAAACTTTAATGAAGTCCAATAAAGAACAAAGAATATAAAGCTCTTTAAGCCATTTCTCTGTGCATGTGGAAGAGTAGAAATAAATAGGCCTTTACTCTGTCTCTGTATTTTAGTTATTTAATAAAGTTTCCATAAGTCAAATTGTACAAAGAAAAATAAGTTTATTTTGGAATACGATGGCAAAGTTTCAAAACACAGCTGTACAAGTGAGACCAGAGGAGCTTTTTTTTTTTTTTTTTTTTTTATGCGTAAGCTGAGTAGAAAGAACATACAGATGAATTATTGCTGATAGGCAAATGGCTCAGCTTGTGAAAAAGGTAAATGCAGCATTGTCCCCACTGGAAAGCACTGTAAGAATATTTGCAGGTAAACAACATGTGCTTTATGAGATTACTGGAGTAGATAATGACCCTGTAGTAGCAATGAATCTCCTGATATGACAGACTTAAATATTAGAGCATGTCCTAGTTTATATAAGAAGCTGGTTCAGAGCCCTGTGGCTTTGAACCTGTGACTCATTCCCATGGAAAATGTTTCAAGCTGTTGTAAAGGGTCTTTGCCACTGATGTCCTTTGCTGTCATTATACCTGGTAGCATCATTGCCCTTTAGAAAGTATTCAGACTCAGCTGATGAGAAACAAGAAGAATTAAAAGGAAAACTATCAAAAATAGGTGGTATTTCACAGGCTTTTAAAGAAATCTATTACTTTCCCAGGCTTTGTGAAATTTGGTTTATACTATTTAAATTAATATTACTAAAATTTTTAGGCAAAGGAGAAATATCATATGGGGTGATATCTATTTCTTGGACATTTTGATTTCAACATTCATAAAAGCTGTGGAAAATGCTGTGAAACATTGTATATATTCTACATTTTGTTTTTCTATATGCAGCTTACATAGAAGCTATTCCTTTGTAACCATTAACAATGAAAGGACTGGCTTCTTAGATGAGAGGAGACCTGTGGGCTTATGCATTTTCTACCTAGCTTTTGACATTGTATCCTGTGCAATTATAAAGAAGCTGAGGAGTTACAGACTGGATGAGCAGACTGCGAGGTGGACTGAAAGCTGTCTGAATGACCAGGAAAGTGGCAATTGGTGTCATGAAATATAGTTAGAGGCCAGCAATTAGTGGTGTAGCTGAAGGGACAAGAGTGTCCAAAAATTCACTTGTACAGATAGTTGAGCTGTATACCCTCTCGAGTCTGCCGATGACCCAAAAAATGAGAGCCATAACAGGTATGCCCAGAGGGTTGTGCTATTGTACAAAGGGACCTCAACAGACTAGAGAGGTGGGTTGACAGGACCCACATGCAGTTCAACAAGAAGAACTGTGAAGTTCTGTACTGAAGGTGGAAAAATCTCCAAGAACAAGTGCACCTAGCTGGAAAGCAGCTTTGCAGAAAAGGTTGTCAGTGTCCTTGTTGGGATCAAGTTGACCATCACGTGGCATGCACTCTTGCAATTAAAAAAAAAGACATCCTGGGCTGCACTGGAAGGAGCACTGCCAACAGATTAAGGGGAGGAGGTTCTTGCTAGCTCCTCAGCACTGGTGAGGCAAGGCTAATGAAGAAACTGAGTTGTCAATTGTTCTGGAGCTGGGTCTGAACTGGACAAGAAAATGTTCATAGGGTGAATCTCATCAGTGTGTACAAATAGCTGAAGTGAGGGTGTTTAAAAATACTAACAATAAAATAGAAGGCCAGATTTCAGAATGTGACAGTGACTGAGGCCTGGATGAGGCTGTCTAGAGAGGCTGTGGAGTCTCCACCCTTGGAGATACTCAGAAGCTGTCTGTGTGTGGGCGATCAAATCTAAACTGAAGAGGGGTTGGACCAGATGACTCCCAGAGGTCCCTTCTGTGTCTTTCTGTGATTCTGGAGTGAAAAATTTCACTAAAACTTGTTCACTGCTGTTCCACATTAATTACAGGGAAGGAATAAAAATAACATGTCTTGAAAGTTATATAATCTCCAAATTTGCTCACAGCATTTCAGCTGATGTCAGGTAGAGTCAGACTCAGGTACAAAAATCCACAGGAAGAGGCTGGCGTGGAAGCAAGTCTATATTTTCATTTTGCTGTCTCTTAAAAAGCTCAGCACTCAGCATTTGCTTTGAATTTCATGTAAGGTTTCATTCTGTATTCCATTAAAATGCTAATAATTACGATTGTAACTGCTATATACTGCAGCCTTATGCTGGAAAAATATTTTCTGTATGGTGAGAGAAGTCCAAAATGGTGACATAATAACAGCCATGAGACTCTTCACTATGAGAAATATCTCTTAGATTCATTACAATACTCTGGGAAAGAAAAAATAAAAGATTTTTCTGTTTATTTAGGAGACGATAATAAAAGAACAGTACATTTAGATCTCAACAAAAAAAGTTATCTGATTTTGAGTTTTTAACTTCCTTTGAAGTAATTAGTAAATTCTGCTGTGTCTGTAATGAATAATTACTATAACAATAATTATAGTCTAGCTTCATTTGTTTTTAGGTGTGGTAAGGAGATACATATTTAGAAATCAGCCACAAGACAGTAAAATTGATTTCTGGTTTATCTGGTACAGCTCTGTGTCTCTCACTGTACTGGGTAATAATTGATTGCTTGAAGCCTTGTAGTAGTAGGTAAAAATTGATCAATGTTAAAGTAGGAACAGTGTTTTATAGGTTCTCAAGAATTGTGGAGCCTCCATATTTCTTTCTCATCACCAGCTCTAGATCATGAGGTGAAATTTAAAAGACGCTTCATCTTCATAAATTACATTCAGCAGTTCTGAGCCCTTTCACTGCAAGAAGCAAAACAAAACCTTTAGTAACACAGCACGGATTAGTAATGTATGAAGTCAAGTGAGCTTTTTATGGTTCAACATATGGTTTTAGATTAGCTGATGTGATTACACTGAAAACCAACCAGCCGTCTATGTCCACGTCCATAATTTCTCAAGTCAGTATCTGCAAAGTTTATTGGTATTGGTAGCTGTCATCTCATGATGTAAAGTGTTGTAAAAATTAACAGATTTATCTTCTTTTTAATAAAGAAATTCCAAAATATTTTAATAATGTGAATTTATTTTATTGCAGGAAGTTGACCTTCTAAACTAGATGACTGTTCACTTTTACACTGGGGAAAACTTTAACATCTTTATTAAAATATAGGGAGCAAGGTCTTTCCTCGCTTCCCTCCTGATGCTCCATATACCATTAGCAAAAAAAAGTGTAAAAGTTACCCAGCTGTTTATTTTAGATGCCTCTCTAGGCTTTCATTTTAATATATAAGAATGTAACATTGGAGAGAGATGAAATTATGTTATTTTAGATACTTATGGGTCTCCTGCATTGAACGTAACTTAACACTCAAATTAAGGTACTGCTTTAGGGGTCCCTCTCTGATATTTTATACAAAGAACAGCTTTTAAATGACTCACATTAATTCTTGTCACACAGGAAATCTAGGATAACAATGCAACAGTGTACAATGTAATTTATAATTGTGAGCTAAATACCATTGTTTATTTGAACAACAAATGTGATTGAGTTGCAGAACTTTAAGGTAGTTTATCAGCATAAAATCCTGAGACAAACTTTAGAATTTACTTTAACTTCATGCGTTCAAACTACGCAAGAAATTAATCACAATTAACTACTTGTTTTACAATTGTTAGATATATCTACCTGGTGTCATGATTTTGTGATTTTTGGTTTTTGATATTCCACATCATAACATCATGTGGGGCGCTGGGAGTTTAACTGTCAATGCTCAAGTTCTGGGTACCTGCCTGGAAAAGATGATGAACTACATTCCCCAGGGGACTTTGCGGTCATAGAAAGGAGATATAACTCCTGGCAAGGTGACCTGATGCTCTTTGTCAGCTCTCCTCCCATCTCCCTGCCACTCAACTGGATTGCGCATCTCACCTCAGCGCTGTGGTATGTCCTATCCACCTTTCAGACATTCTCTCTCTCTAATTATATTTGATTCATTAGTTTCAATTCTAATTATATTGTATTATGGTGTGTTATCTTGCATTCCGATACTATATTTAGGAAGTTAGTTTGTTTCTTCTCAGATCGTTGCCACTGTTTTTAATTATTTTGGGGTCCCCTGTTCCCTTTCTTCTGGAGGTGCAGATTTTGTGAAATCCCTCCACCCCACTAGTCATGGAACTGGGCTGAACCAGCCCATAAACCCATTGACAACATACAAATAATCGCAGCATGAATTTTTTTTTTTTATTTTTTTTTTTTCATATCAGGTTACTAAACACATATTTTAGTTTCATAGTTATGCTTCAGTGAAATAAAAAAGCAGTAACTGAAAAAGACAAATACTGAAGCAAATTACACTTCTTGTTCCTTAAATGAATAGGAAACACAGCAGGCAGTAAAGCCCAGACCATGTCTTTTAGTTCTTCTGCTTAAACTTTGAGGTAGGGCTCCAATTATTTATCTGCAGACTACTTTGCTTAGCGATTAAAACAACTTAAAACTGTTTCTGTGAATTCAGCAGGTTGGTACCTCAACAGTGCCCGCAACATCTGTGATCAAACTGCAGTTTTTGTTTGCAAATTGCTGAGAAAGGTAATAAACTATTTTGTTGTTTGTTTATTTATAAAACCTCATTTTTTAAGGCTGCAGGCTTATGCTGATTTTGTTTTATTTTATTTTCCTGAATCAGAGTACCTCCTGCATGACATGGACCATAACATTTCACATTGCAAAGTTATTAGCAAACCCTGTTGTCTTAGGAAGACCACAGAATATAGATATTTTTTCTTGTCAGTATTGTTAACATTCCGTGTAAGTCACTCTAAAAGTAATTCTTTGTATTTATTTCTGGAAACTACAACAGATAGAAAGACCGCAATGACACTATTAGAACAAGTTCTTAGGTACAAGATACAGTCACTACCATTAGCTGTGTGTTTTTGCCTGTGGTGAACAAGAGCCCACGTGCCGTGCTCATGGAAATCTGTATGGCTGTCCAGAATGTGGCTCACCTTTCATGTCACTGTCACCCCTGGTGAAGTGTATGGCCCACTGCTCACTGTGCTCACATCTATTGTTTGTTCTCTGGTTTCCCTAAGTAGTCAGGAAGTGTTGGCTGGGGCCATTTTTTCCTTTATGTGGGAATTCAGTTGCATCCCTTGGTTCCGTACACACTTCAGTGTTAGACAGTATTCTGTCATACTGCCCCTCTACTTCCATCTGTTGCACAGCAATAAAATGTAATGGAATACGGGTAGGATAATTCAGCTTGTATGGCCATCCCAACGTTTTCCTCTGACGCCATCAGCCAGCATAGTAAAATAAGAGGCATTACCTTCAGAGAACACATCCAGAATATCAATTAATGTGATAAAGATTTAAAGTGGAATTACAAATAAGATTAAGTCATTATTTAGCAATAGTTGCCGTTCCTCTCTTTCTTTAGGATTAATTTCTCTATTGCCCTGAGGGAAGATAGAGGGGAACAGGTAAATACAGCTACGTTCTGAAAGAAGTGTTTTCTCGCTGAATCACGAGGCCCTAAATAAACACAAATTAGCATGTCCCTGGGGATCTGAAATATATATATATATATATATATATATTTGTACCTGTTTCACATTTTCCCCCCTTTTAACTCCAGACTTTTCTGTAACTTCATCTGGAACACCATCTCAGCTGAGAAGCCTGCAAGGTTCTTAGGTTTCTCCTTAGCCTGCTCACACGCAAACTTTTCTAATATAATTAGCATAAAAAACTGTATTCTCTGCATACAGATAAATATTTGTGGGGTTTTCATCAGCTTGAGCTAAGAGAAGAGTGATAATATAATCTGAAGTTAGCTAGACTTCAAGGTATTGTGATGACTTGCCTCTGGGAATTTCTTCAGTGAGCATTGCCTTTAAAAACACATAATACACAGGCTTCTCTCCAAAGGGCCAGGCTTTTCTTCTTGTCCATAATAGCTACAGCATGGATGCTGTAAAATGTGAGGTAAAATGTATAACTTCTTTGATCCTCGCTTGCACTATTAAGACATTTATTTAAACATCTATTTAAGCTTTTTAAGAGCAATTTCTTCAAAAAGGACTGGAGTTATTAAAAAAAAAAAAAAATGTATTTTGCCTATATCATTAAGTTATTGTAGACAGTGTGTTTATGCTAGGATAATGTGGCTCAAATGAGTGACAACATTTCCTGTTTACAAGAGGATGTTTGCATTTGGATTTGAGCCCCGTATGTAACACAGGCCTTGTGTGCCCTTTGATCATAGTAGGAGTAAGCCTTTTATAAATACTCATTCATAGAAATGTTAAGGCTAGAAAAGACCTGTAAGATGATCTGGTCCAACCTTAAACCTGTCACCAGTATGCCCAGAGAATTTGCTATCAATTTTCTGTTTTCCCATTCACAACAAGTAATAGAGTCTGAAAAACCAATGAGCAAACATAAGTGATTCCTTATAATCCTCCTAGTTTTTGAAAAGGGACTGTAGAAACTAAGAGTAAGTTTATCAATTTTAAAATCTAATGTCGCTTCTGAAAGAATAATAGAGAACTGCCAGTTTTTACATAAAGGTTTGGCTTATATCTTTATCCAAAAAGAAACTTGGTGAGTCATTGCATTCATACAGTATTTTCCTTAAGCATTTTCCATTTCTTCCCAGTCCAGATCACTCCTGTAATGAAAACATATTGTCATTTTATTATAAAGTATCATCATATAATATGACAGCATCTTTCATTATGGAATCTAATTTTTTTTCTATTGAATTTAAATTGCTTTTCCTTACTCATTGCATGTCTTTGCTGTAATTCTCATTACATACATTTTTCTTTTGATAATTTGCAGACATCCATAACTTCTGATAACTTCGTCTCTAAGGATAGCAAGATAAATAGGATATCCTTAAATAGTTCTAATCTTGATCTTAAAAGTACAACCACATATTATGATGACTGTTTAGCAGCATACAAACAGAAAAACTTATTGGTTCATCTTGAAATAAGTATAGCATTAGAAATGAAGATAACCTCTAACAGTGAGCTTAAGTTTTCAGCTCAAAAATTTTCAGACGTTATTTAAAACTTGGATTGATTTATCATTGTATTGAAGTGCAAGATTTCATAATTTGACATCTTATGAAAGTTTAAAAAGTCTTTATTTTTTCCAAAAAGGGGGGGGTAATAGGGTAAAAATTAAAGGATTCTGTATGGGTATGTAGAAAGAAAGAGTCTTCTCCTTTATGGGTGCTTGGTCAAGACAGAGAGAGCTGTCTCAATTTTTTGCTGGATTGTTGTAGGAATGAGGTTTCTACATAGGATTTATATCTTTCTTTGTGTAGTTTGGATCCAAATTCACAGTCCTGTGACAAGATCTCTGAAGGTTGCAGATCTGGAAGGCTGGATCTCTATAATGTTTAGAAATGAAAACAGAACAAAGCAAAAAAACAACAACAACTACAACAAAAAAAAGAAGCCAAAGCAAGTTTAGACTTGAAAAATTCCACGTAAGTATGACTGCTTCACAAATAATACTGATAATGTCAATTTCTTTTTATGGACTGTTATATTTTTCTTTGGATTCCACATTTTTATTGCTGCTGCCTGTTGGTACAGAAATATGAAATATAGAAGTAATCCTAAAACACTGCAGTTTGTGAGAATGGCCGCACTGGTAATTACCCATAAGCCTTCACAACACAGCAAGAAACATTTCTATGATTTATTTTTATTGCTTAGAAAAATCTGGAAAGCCTGTACAATATGCCATGTCCTGATATTAGCTTTACCTCGGCAACCTTACTGAAGCTTAACTAAATGAAGTAATAAATTCAGAAATGTGTTTCTGCATGCATTTGTTTCATAGATTTATTATAGATAAATCCACTTATAAAATGCGTCAGGATGAAAAGTCTACGCTGCAGAAACTTCCTAAATTCTGATGCAAGTATTACGGTCTCCATTACCAATAATTCTTAAAAGTAGAGCATTTAGTTTCATGATGATCACAGAATTGTAGAATCACAAAATGGCTTTGATTGGAAGGGTCCCTAAAGATCATTCAGTTCTAACGGCAGCTGTGGGCAGGGCTGCCCCCCACCAGCTCAGGCTGCCCGGTTCCTATCCAACCTACCCTCAGGCTTCTCCAGGGATGGGGCACCCACAGCTCTGGACAGCACTGCCAGGGCTTCATCGCTCCCTTAGCAATGAATTACTTCTAACATCTAACCAAAATCTCCTCTGTTAGTTTAAAGCCATTCCCACTTGTCCTATCGCTGTGAGACAGTGTGAAAAGTCAATCCCACTCCTGCTTGTAAGCTTCCTTTGAGTTCTGGTAGGCCACAATGAGGTGTCCCCAGGATCTTCTTTCTCCAAGCTAAACAAGCCCAACGTGTTGATTAACTGAGCTTCTCCATGTTTGAGGTCAGCTCTCCCTTTTCAGTTATCAGTGGAAATATACTCTCCTTTGCATTTATCTTCTGCCTAATATAGCTAAAGAAAGCCTTGTTTTTCACATCCCTTATCTTAGCTTTCCTGATCCCGTTGCTGCACATCCAAACAGTATCCCTACGTTCTTTCCAGGCCACCCATATCTACTTCCACTGCTTATGTTTTTCCTTTATTCCCCTCAGTTTGCACAGCTGGTCCTCTCTTATTCACTCTGGTTTCCCAGGGGATCTGATCCAGCAATTCCTTAACTGACCTGAAGGTTGCTCTCCTGAATTTCAAGGTCCTGCCTCCAATATTTGCCAGGCCCACATTCCTTAAGAACACAAACTCATCCAGGGCGCTGCAGCCCAGGCTGCCTCTGATATTAACTTCTATAATAAACTCTTCCGTGTTGATCAGCACCAGGTCCAGATAAGTTGCACCTCTGGTGGATCTGTCCTGAACTAGAAAGTCGTTGTCAGTGCACTCCAGGAGCAGCCTGAACCCAATTGTAAGAAGAATATGTTCTCTTGAGATGTTAGGGCTATACAGGTGGATGTAGAAATCCACGTTAACTCACTTAAAAATGCTTTACCTATCTGTGGTAAAAAATGAAATTTTCAACCTAATTGAAATTAAGTTTTGACAGTTTTGTTGAATTGCTCTGGAAACAATATGTTTCTGCAAAACATAATTTAGTCAAATGTGTATTTTTCAGAGGAAAACTGATTTATCAAGAAAACTTTCCACTAGTTCTGTAGTTCATAAATATGCTACCTACATTTTATGGTTGTCCATTGCTTATGGTGCCAAAAAGCAAAAAAGTTATAGGCATTTTCATTAGAACTTGTTCAGTAACCCTGTGGATCTAATGTCTGATATGCTATTTAAATAACACCAAAAATTAAGATCAGAAACTAGTATGTGGATTTGTTCAAGTTGAAGAAACCTGTAAGTATCTACTTGTCTTATATATGCATTCCATTTGAAATATCCTGTAGGAGCAGGTTTGCGTGCGTATTTGAGCAGGTAAATACTTATGACTTTAACATGCCCACGGGCCTCTGTGCTGCACTTTCAAGACACCTGTGTGTGCATATTAATCTTAGAAGGTATATGAATACATGAATATTAACCTCCATCAAGGCCTATTTGGGGGGGCAAATATATTTGAATACGTGACTGCAAATGAGATCTCCAGAATAGCAAGTGATTTCCTTGTATCAGCCCCATTTCTTCATGTCTCCATGAAAGGATGAGATTATGCATGGTTTCTGGTAAGGTAGGTATGAAATTATCTACACGCTTATCCTGCGTTCATATGCATCAGACAGCAGCTTTGTTTTCAACGATGCGTTGTAGATTTCAGTGCATTGCATTGAATCTGGCATAAATGGCTATTCCTTCTGTGTGTGTATCTATATATATGTGTGTGTATGTATATATATATATATATATATGCATATACATATATGCATATAGTTAATTATATTGTTTATTGTTTAAACCGACTTGAAAATTAGGAGGAAGTTACTATTATTCAGCTGAAATTATTTGTGCGGCATCTGCCATAAAGTTGAGATTACATCTTGGAACTGCCTAGTAAACGTACTATCAAAAAGAAGAAGAAAAATGACCATTTGATTCATAGGTTGAATTCCTACCTTTAGCTTGCGGGCAATAATACTTCATTTTAACCAGTGAAAATTTTATCTGTTGGGAAACAATGGTATGTACAAACTGAGTTGTGAAAACATTGGTGTGTTCTTCTTTGCAAGTGCACATATGCATGTAAATGAGAACCAAGTTTGGCTTAGAAGTTACAGACAGAAACTGTATTGTTACCCAGAATTTTCTAAGGACATCTGCAGCATAGCCTGAGACTCTTCCTGTGGCTAAAAGCAAATGATATGCTTTTGGGATCTGAATATAGTAATCTGAAGCCTCTTCAATGCAGAGAACAAATGTGTGTTGTTTTAGTCTGTGGGACTTCATCAAATGATGAAAATTGAAAGTGTTTTTCCCTGGCGAAGGAAACCGCTTTCATTGCTATGGGTCATGAGGAACCAACTAAAATTTTATGCTGTTAGCATACAGATGTTAATACTAATGCATCTAAGCGGTAGTGATATTTTGAACCATATTGAATAGTTATTGGAATATGTTTAATTCACATGCAAATATTTGATGGTATTAACAATCTAAGGAAAAGGAGGCAACCCTATTTCAGTGTGAGCTGTGTGTAACATACCTTTGCTATGTGCACATATAAGTTTTCAATCCAACTCTCATAATGAATACTGTCAGAATATGTGATTTAATCTTTTCCTGTTACAGGCTTATTCTGTTCAGCAAATTTACATTCAAATATGTAAATAGTCCTGCTGATTGGCACTGCACATTTTGGTGACTTTTGATTCATACGGAAATGACAAAGAATAGCTTCTTACACAGCTTTCATATTCTGGAGATAGGATTTCATTTTTCTGAGAATGATGAAGAGGAGGATCAGGGGCGACCTTATTACTCTCTATAACTACCTGTAGGGAGGTTGTAGTGAGCTGTGGGTCAGCCTCTTCTCTCGTGTAACTGGTGATAGAACTAGAGGGAATGGCTTCAAGCTGAGCCAACAGAGATTTAGGCTGGATGTTAGGAAATACTACTTTTCTGAAAGAGTGGTCAGGTACTGGAATGGGCTGCCCAGGGTGGTGGTGGAGTCACCGACCCTGGAGGTGTTCAAGGAATGTTTGGATTTTGTGTTGAGGGATATGGTTTAGTGAGAACTATTGGTAATAGGTGCATGGTTGGACTGGATGATCTTGCAGGTCTTTTCCAGCCTTGGTGATTCTGTAACTATTCTGTGATGATCTGCTCGCAGCCTGCAACTACTGGAAGCGTTGTTACCTTGTGCTTTAAACTTCCCCTTGTTTTCCGTCATTTTTCCCATCTTGGATAATATGCCTATTTTAGCATATTTATTGGGGTTCATTGTCTGGCAATGCTCTTGTCTATGCTTTTACACTTGCAGCCTTCAGAGCGGTATAACTGCCCCAATTTGAAAATGGATGATAATCCTGACCTTGTGTTAATTCTTGAACCACATCTACTTATTTGGAAAAATACTCCCTATCCCAAGCAAAACTGTGCAACTATGCAAATTCTTTGAGAGCAGAGGTGGTCATGTCCACTGTCCTTATGCTTCCTGGCACCGGTTATTTTCTTAGCGTGACAAACAATTTTGCACACTGTCTATGCCTCTAAAATTCCCATTTATTGAGGGAATATTGAGACCCCTATGAAAGTATTTTTAAAAAGAAGGATTCAAGTTAGTACAGATTACAGACTTTTACATTCAAAGCCACATTAAAGAATTTCAAAGGACAGAGTATTAGCTCTACCTACTACAAACATTTTCATAATAATGCCTCAATTTCATAGTAACAACAATTTAATGGATTGAAGCATCTCTTCTTTTTCATCTCTAAGTTTGAGCTGTGATTCCTTTGAAAAATACAGTATTTTGACAGAGGGGATAATATATAGAACATTCTTATTTCAGAGTTAAATTCTATATGCCAGCCTTGTTCTGGATCATTTAATCCATTGCACTGAACATCTCTGTAGGCGCTGTTTTGTTTCCTTAGCCTCCGTATATTATTTCTTGACATCTTCTTGTGCATATTTACTACAATAAGGTGAGACAATAATTCAGAAGCATGAAATGCATGAAGGAAGATTTCAGATCCTGTATTTAATGCCATTCTTGTAGACAGTTTAGGTAGTGTTTTGAACGAAATATACGGCGCAAAAGTTCATACAAATATTGAAATAATCTTGAGACTAAACACTTAAAATACATAAATGTGGCTGTCTGTTGGATATTGAGAATGCATCTTAGCTTTGGTGCTGCTTGATTTTGGACAGTTTATGGTGAAATATTACTAACACCTTTCTTTCCTTGTTTTTCTCAAAAGATAAATTGATGCACGCCTCATATTCAATTTGCATTATCACATGTGAAAGACGGTAGGGGACTTTCTGTCTGTTCAGTTAGCTTCCCCAGTGCGACTGCACAGAGTACCTGAGAATGCTTCTTACACCGACTATTATTTTCTTTTATTACACTACATCTTATGCAGCCATTTGTATTCCTCATCTACAGGATTACGTATCTGCTGCCAATACTGGAGGAATCTGAATTACAACAGGGAAGGCAATTGATTGGTGTTTGCAGAATAGGCTGCTTGTCAAAATGCTTACGTGAGCACTGCTTGTTCTCCAACATGCTAATGACAGCTGTGACACAGCCTTTCCAGGCCATGAGAATCCAGCCAAGGTGTGCAAATGATGCACTGACAATGGTTTTTGATGGAAAGAAATAGGTCTTGTAACTTCCATTCTCTCCTATTGCTATATGTGTGCAAATTTTAGCGCTGACAACTACTGCTGACTGATGAGCAGCTCAGAGCTGCATTAGGAATAAAAAATCACATTTTTACCAGAAGTCAGATGAAGATACATAAGTGAAAAGAAAAATTGAAGCAGCTGAGAAAGCGTATCTTACACGGAGAGTCTGGCAAACCTTCCGAGCAACTTCTAGTTGGGTTTAAAAGATGGCCTTCCAGCCATCTCCAGCACCACAGCTCATTTCACACTTCATGCAGCATCCACCCATGATTTTCAGCTCTTTTTTTTTTTTCAGGGCTTAAGCACTGAAACCCAATGGAAATTAGGAAGAGCAAGCCCCATTGTTGGGCCTAACGCATAGTATGAAAAGCTCTGCTGCCAATGCAGAGTGCAAACTAGGAAGGTTTCTGACATCAGAAGAGTGATGCAAGTGGCAGATCCATCTCCATGGCCTGCACATGACAGACCCTCTGATGAGAAAGGTGACCCAGAGGAAAAAAAGGTGAGAAAAAATCTTGATATTTGGTACTTTGTCATGCCTGGGTTCCAGAACTGTGGCGTGTGAGTAGTCTGTAAGAAACCAGAGGATCTAAAATTGAAGCTTGATGGTTCAGATAGATACCAGATAGTCCCTAGATACTTTCCTAGATGCTTGCAGTAGTGCGTAGCTTCAGCAACAGTATGCGATTTCTACTTTGGACAAAGCTGTACTGGGGAAATGTAAAAGGAGAAGAACGTGAGGACATGATGTATACTTGAATAGAGTAAGGCGAAGAGCAAGATGTAGTTCTTTGGTGGATTTTGACCCACTCGTTGCTATCAATAAGCTCTGTCAACAGAGTATTACTTGGATAGTTGGGGTCTGAAGGAAGTTGAATGTCTTGGTCTGCTGACACAGCCTGTGGCAAGGTCCAGGAAATGTTTAAGTGCTTTTTGCTTTTGCTATTAGCAGTGAAATGGGCAAATATTCCGTGTCGCCAACTGACAGAAAGGGTTATTTACTGGAGAGCTTGGAAGAAAAAAAAAAAAAAAAAAAAAAAAAGTCTAATGAACTGGAAATCCTGCTGTTTAACCTGTTCTGATGATAAGTGTAGCACTGTGTCAATTGCTGCCAACACAGCAACTGTCACTTTTTTTGGAAGTTTGGATCTTTTGAATGCATGTTTTCAATTAATACTTCAGAGCTGTCACTGCCTTACATGCCGCTGCTGCAATCACAAGTCATTGCTTATCAGACTGTTTGTTAGCATGCACTTCTGCCAAAAGTGTCAATGCAGGCAGTAGTAAGCCTTAACAAAATAGTTTTGCGTGTGCACATCTGTGTACGCTTGTGCCAGAGGAGAGCAGAGAGGAGATAAAATTGCATTTTTTAATGCTCAAGAGAAGAGCTGTTATGATTACACAATGAGGACAAAATAGCACTAAGTTTACAAGTCTTTACATTAAAAAATGCCAAAGAAGTGGGGAGAAAAAAAATACGACCCTGAAACTATCAGGTAATGGCAGTTGGATTTGTGCATCTCAACATCCTTTGGTAGCAAGTAGATAGCAGAAGTTAGGAAAACTCCCACAAAGCACAAAGATCTTTGTGAAAAACAAAAATAAGGATTTGAGTTAGTGAGTTGTTGACAGAAAAACTTGTTCATGCATATCTGAAATACCATCAGCAGATGAACGTTTTGGCTTAGAAGTTGTCAAACAGTAACTAACAATCCAGGCGGTCTGAAATTGTGTGATGTATCCAACATCTGTCAGTAGTACTTCTGACTGAAATCTAAAGATGTTGGGAAAAGTCTGAATTTCTGACTGAAAATAGCAAGTGTGAATGAATGTGAGGAGCCGTTATTTATCCCATATAGAGAAGACTGCTGTTCTAGTTCTTGGAAGACAGATCATTCTGTTACAAAGGTCTGGTTTGTGGATACTTAGCCAAGATAGGAAACTACCAGTCTTTACTTGTCCAAAGTGGACAGTGTTTAATTAAAAAAATCAGTTCACTCAACTAAATGTATTTTGCTTGAAGAAATTTATTTTTTGATTTTTAATTTTTGTGAGAAGGTAATAATAAATAGTATTGTTTATTTTTATCTATTACGAAGCTTTTTATGTACCTAAAAGTATTATATTAAAAAACGTAAAGTTTAATTGCTAAACAGTGTTTCAATCTTATTTGGCAATATCCTTTCATCTTTGTGAGATAAATTCTGAATTAATGAGTGTTGTTTTTTTTTTCTTAAAAGACTTTTTTCTTTAGTGGTCTTTTGTTAAATTCTTGTATATGGATTTTACTAAATGACCTCTTTTCTTTTCAATTCAAGACAAATATCTTCTGCTTGACTGCCAATGACTCCCATATTAATATGGTAAAGAAACAAGCAAAATTGTTGTTGTGGCATATCTATTGTGCATGACTGTAATTACATACACCAGCAGCTGATTTTCTATGATGCTGTGTGTAGTGAACAGATACAGGGAAAATCTGCCTTATCTCTGATGCAAGACTTTGCATGAATATTTTTCCCAACAGCAAGAAAACAAAACTTTAAAGAGGCAACTGCGTAATAATGCAAATGCCTAACACAGCCTACTGTCAGAGTAGGCCTACCAGTTTTATGGAGAAAGAGAAGGATATGGGATCTGAGTCAATAAATCTAAGGTAAGTGAAGTTTGTCATTCACTAACAACTTAATACAGTCCATGGCAATTTTGTTGTTATTGTTTAATCCAATGGAAGGAGAGAACTGAAAATAATTGCATGTTTCCTCCATTAAGTAAAGTAAGTTTCTCTTGATTTGAAACTATTTGTTAAGGTGTTCAAGGCATCTTCAACTTTCATTGCATTCACAGCTAATTCCTTCTCTAGGTTTTTAATATATTTTCTGGATTTCATTATATCGTGGGAGTGATTGTTTAGTCCTGCAGATTTTAAAATAACCTTTTTGTTTGTAGTTATTGCTGCTAAGTAAGTTTTCATTATATTTTCCTTTGTCTTTTAAAAGAGTATTTCTTCCCATCTTCTCTCATATACAAAAATTAGAAGCACTAGAAAAATCACATTCCAGAAGGGGGATTGTCTTGACACTGATCTTTTCCTAAATGTGAAATCATGCACATATGGCACAGTGACAGAAAGAAATCCCTCCAGCTTCCTGTTTTGACATACTCCTGGGTCAGGTTTTCAATTCTTCAAGACCACAAATACAGAATTGCAGCTTTATGAATTCCATGCTCTCTTACATTGTCTAGCAGCTGGAGCTTTTTGGATGCCTGATTATAATGAAATGAAAATTTAGAACAATTTTTTGGTCAGATTAGAGTGCAAAGAGCGCAGCTCATCTGCACTGAGCACTGCAAAAAGACCTTAGGACTAAGAATCTAATGTTGGCATCTTCAAAAATGTATGTAGCTGCCAAAGAGTTGCAAGACTGTACAGAATAATGCTAACTTAAGACCTGTATTATTTGAGTAACTTTAAAATTTTTCCCTTTTGTCAATATCAAGTTTTTGTTTTTCTTCTTATTTAATTCTAGCCTTTGCTTCTATTTGATACGGACTTTGTTTTCTGAATGAAAGTGTACTTAGCGCATCTAAATTACAGGATGTTTGTGTATGCATACATGACTACATTTCAAATGTTCCTTCACAAAGATCAGGATCTACATACAATTTAATTATTCTTTCTTATACAGGCTGCCCTTTCTTGCAGTTTGCATGTTCCTAAATTCTTCTTTAGGTTATATTCACTAAGTTCCGCACTTAAGTACAACTTTAGGTTTTTAGACTAGCAAAAAAACCTCTTCAATGTGGAAGCCAGCTTCCTTTCTCACCATCCTTATTAATGAATAACTTAAACATCCATCTTTTATGCTTTCTAAATGAATTCCCAAACAACTGACCAATTTGTAATAAATGTTCAAAGGCAATTAGTATTCTAGGGTGCATCCCTCTGTCACTCCTGCTCAAGTTGTTCAAATATTTAGAGTGTCAGACAGAAAATGAAAATGAATCTATAGTTTGATATCCACTTGGGACACCCAGGCCCTATTCTCAGCTCTCATAGAAAGTGGAACAGCTTTGTCTGATTAGCAACTATTCCGGAATATAAATCAGACAGGATGTAAATTAAATTTTAGGAGATTCAAATCCTAAATGACAAAGAAGATAAGGCACTTTGCTTGTCTTCAGTGTTTTTTTAAGTACAAAATTCTTCTTTCTCTTCCTCCTTCGTTCTGTGGTTGATGTAATTGAACTCGTTCTCATTTCCAAATGCTATCTTACAACTTAATTAATGAGTTTTCATATTGACATGATTTTTCTGATTTCTGTTCTTTATTTTCTTTTTTTGGTCAGTCATGCTGTATGGAGTCTGGAGGTGGCCTCAATGAACCTTACGAGTCTCTCACAACTTGGGACAGTCTGTAATTCTGCTGTTGTCTTTCACATTGTTTTAAAGAATGGTGAGATGAAAGGGAAACACCTATCCCCACTGAAATTGATGAGGATTTTGGCATTTTGCTCTGGGGAAGTGGGAGTGACTGTATTGCAGTTTGGCTCAAAAGTTAATGGGCATCCTTAGCCATCTAGCTCAATTCCTGTGGCTCAAGTTAATGCTGATGTGACAGAGTGACAGAGTTCTTTATCTAAGTGATCCAATGAGCAAACTATAAATGTTTATAAATGAACCCAGAGGTTCACACAGGGATAATATTCCTTGTGTTGGATGTGAAGAGAAATTCTGCTTTGCATGTATGCAATTGAGTTACGCTTGGCTTTATGTTCCAAGTCTCCTTTGCTGGCATGTACACCTCTTCATTCTGCTTTCCTAATTTGTGTGCGTACTTTTAGATATTCTGTGCTTGCTCTGTGCATTTAGTAATCAGATAAACAGATACATTTCATTTGGTGCTTATGGAAAGACTAATACCTCTGACTCTTGGTATCCACAGAAAGACTTCTCATGGGATATTTCAGTTTATTCCTTTCTTTAAAGCATAAAGCTTTTGAAAGATAATGAAATGGAAGAACCAGGACTACAAGTCTTCCAGTGCTATGATTGGTGAAAGCCAAACGCATTTCAGTCAGCATAATTTAGTTTTACACCAAGTCTGTAAGAGCTGGTTGAGATATTACGCATGAGCTCCTGCTAAGAAAGTGTTGGAAAGAGTCTTGTTCAGATTCTCCATTGATGAACATTCACTGCAATTCACTGCAAGGGACACAGCTGTTATTCATCCATATCAGCACGCAATTTGCGCTCTTTGTTACCATTGCAAGAGCAAAGGCAGTTAGAGGCAGAATATAACATTCCTTTTAGAGGGCATTTTATTTTCCTCCCTCTTTCAAAGGCCTCCCATGCTAACTTGAATTAGGAAGCACAAAGGACTTCCTTGCAATGACAGATGATAATAAGAGAAGAGGCAGATCATATATCTATTCCACCCACATATCAGAACGAGCATTGGCATATTTGCCTGCCTTAGAATTGGAGCAGCCTAAATTGGAGAA